TACAAACAACTTGTATTGCAGTTATTTATTGCATCCTTAGCATAAGACACACATGACACGTCTATATCGATAGTTTGAAACAAATCGCGAAAGCACAGAGATATTGAACATCGAAAAATCTTCAATTCACAGTTCAAGATTATCACACTTGTAATATATTTATATTAGTTTTATATGTATGTATGTTAATGGATAAGTTTGAATGAAAAATTTGTTGCGCTGTATATATCAAGGTGAATAAAAATATGAAAGAAATATTATAATAGGAATATATCGTGATTGTGATAGAAAGATATCAGAATTTAAGATAAATGTTGAGGTATATACCTTCTGTTGTCAGGTCACCATTCTGTCTTCGAATCGCAAGTTAACACTAGAATGATCGATTATGCTACTTGACATCGTTAATCATTTCAATTGGTTTCTTTTTTGTATTAGACAATAATATATAGAAATGAGAACAGAATATTAAAAATATGTAAATATAATACAAATAATTCTAAGAATACAAATAATAAAATCATAAAGTATAGAATTGAATAAGATACCTTTGACGTCTCTGTCATATTCTAATCTAGATCTGTTTTCTTCTGTAGCTAAACTAGTATACTTTTTAGAATTTAAAGTAAAATAGATATATGTTTGATATTTGATGAAAGCAAAAAAGAAAGTTCTAGTACAGAAATAAAAAACAGACTTTTGTATGTAATTGCAAACATTTTCCTGACGGTTGTATATAAAATTGATTGATGAAATATTTCTGTATATATTTTTCGCCACTTTTTTTCTGACATTACATACCGAAATTCAGTAATGTCAGTAATATGCTGTGCGATAATAACGTGTATATTAATTTATTGAAAATATGTCGGAGCCGAAATTGTTATTAGAAGAAACGTCAAGGATTGCATCGCCGATAATTGATTCATCTGCGCCGAACCGTGTCTCATTTCCGTGTGTATGTCGGAATTGAAATGGATCGTGCATCGTTTTGTACGACTAACGCCGCGGATGTATTCACTATGACTATTTATTGATCCACAATCCAAGCGAACGACGCACTGAAAAGTGTTTTGGTATAATCTTGCGTTCGGCATTAATTTCATTCATGATCATAAATCTTCAACGACCGCTAACATATCAAATTTGACTGAATATTTATGCATAATAATCTTGGATTTCTCAGCAATGAATCACGAAATAAAATTGACATCGCACATTTTTTGTGGACAGATTCTTAATTTGCATGAACTACTGTATTGAAATATGTTTCGCTCGACATATCCTTTTATCTTATATTATTCTTATATTAAAATTCTTGCAATATTTCCTCCTATTTCATATTTCATACTCTGTCTTACTTTTACAGTTAATATTTTATGTTAATTCTTGAATCTTATATTTTCTTTTCTTGAATTTTATATTTTTCCTATGGTTTTACATAATTCTGATCACATTTAAGGTTCTTTTGGTTGTGTTATATCTGTACGCGTTTTTTACATTTAAATAAATGCTAAAAAAAGTAGACAATTTTTGTAGAAGCGTTACTTTGAATAAATCGAGAGGTCAATTGGTTACAAACGTAAAACGAAGTGAAGAGTGTATTTGCGTTTTGGATAGCAAATAGGAAGGTCAGAAAGGGAATCGGGAAACAGTAATTTCTTTCAGAAATATTACTCGTTAGCTCGGTGTAGCCGCCCGTTTCAGTTACCGCGTATAATTTCTCGATGAAGGCCGATTTGTCGCAGATATAGTTGACCTCGTTTCTTCTTGCTTCGCACGCTGGCAGAGCGCCGCTTTTTATTGCATTTCTATATCCGTGAAATACAATCTCCGTTCAAACTCACATTCGATACGTATTGTATTGGCTAATTAATTTCGCGGTTTTTATATAATACTACTTAATAATTAGAAAATCTTCGCCATTATCCCGTAATCTACTATGAGTATGTGAGCGAAAGGCCATGAGTCAAATTAATATCAAAATAACATTGATTCGATAATCTTCTCTCGATCAAATTGGTCCTTTCGTAAACATAAAATATGTAGTACGGTTTCGAAGCTTTTGTAAAATAATTATAAAAGCTCAACCGTGCGCTTTATTTGAAGAAATATTAATAAAGCAGAAAAAATTATAATAATTCATTATTTTATTCGTTATTTCCTTGGAAATAACAGGAAAATTTGATTACCATTTCATGCGTGTATTTGTGCAGCGTTCTTGTCTTTTTCGATATATTTTGTGCTTTTATAATATTACAAATAGCTACGATTTAGTTCACGATTAAAATATAAGCAAATGAAAATTGCGCGCTTTTATGCTTTCAAATATTTCGTGGAATTTCGTAATAAGCGAATAAAATCATATTTCTCGAACGCGACTGCGCAAATTTTACGAGCTAAACGTGGTTAAAAAAATATGCATTAAATGATTCGAGACACGCGATTTGCACGTTGGCCATCTCGCGAAGTTACAAACCATTGATTTCCTTCATAAACGGAAAAACCACAGGACAACTGAATAATATAAAGCACGATATACTCATATTAAAAGTAACGTAATTGCTCTTACTGCTGCGTATGTATAAATGTCTAATTAGTACTGAGAATACCGGAACACGAAAGATGTGCTATGCGACGACTTTGTCATTTTTTTTTTATTGTATAGATAGAAATAAGATATGACTTGTTCTTCGTTCATTTCTGTGATTTATTTTATCTGGTAACACGATATCATTAGGCAATATGATAGTCAAATGTGACGTTAATTTAATGAGATACATAAAAAATATCTTTTGATTTATATTCACTTTCGCAATTACATACGATAATTAGATTAACAAGCAAGTTAAAATCGTACCGTTGCGAAACTTTGCTATTAAATCCTTCAAACAAAATTTACAGAAGCAATTTAATAATATGTATTCACATTTTACTTGAAAATTGTAATGTACGAATAAAACTCGAGATCCATACATCTATTTAATCCATTTAACTTATTTCGATCATCAGTTATGCAATATTTATCGACATATATTTGTATTACCGTCTATAAAATTAATGCATTTAAAATGTAAGGGTTGATATATGTACTTAAGTAGGTTGAACCGTGCAACGAAAACATTCTACATAGTAAATAAAAAAATACACAATGGGGATATAACAATGGGGATTGTAAATCATCCTTATGAAAGAACAAATTTAACGAATTCGCTTTATAAATAACCACAAGGTCTTCTTTAATAAAGACTCGTTAAAAAATTTGTTGTAAATAATTATTACAAGATAATGTTTACATCATAAATATTCATAACATATCATATTCTCTTAGCAATCTTGAAATTGTATAATAAAATTTGTATAATGTAGAAACAGATTACTATAAAAATTTGGATTCCGATTTTAATCCTCCAAAGCTATTGTCATATCAATTTAATTACAAATCTCTTTGTCAAAAATATCAAATAATTCAATTTTTTTATGCTACATCTACAAGAAAGTTTCAAATGTTCTTATTAAAATATATTTACAATTAGTATTCATTCTTTTTTATGCAAATTATACATTATTTTAGTTTTATGAAATTAATTAATACCTTTTAATTAACATAAATTAACTTTTAAGTAAACAGGTGGTTTATACACAAGTTGGTAAGTAGGCTGGTCATAAAACTTAGAAAAAGTTTAATTTTGTAATAATTGTCATATTTTTTATACTAGTATATTAATTTCACATTAATTACACCTGTATGAGATAAAGGAATGTAAAAATAATTAACTTTAAGATTGAGCATCTAATTATACTTTTTATTTTCCTTTTTCAGAATAATAATTTTCTTTCTAATAAATAACTTTCTAATAAAAAACTTTGAAAGCCGAGAATTAACGGGAAGAATAGGACGATCATACCCATAAATATTAGAGAGAATTTCCGCGTGTCGAACTCCGACGTAGTTCGACATAGTACCGGCCGACCCTCTGCATGTGCGTGTTTCACTGGCGAATAACAGCCCTTCACTCTTACTTTTCCTTACGTTGCGTATCGCCAGGCCAGGCGTTCGGTGCCGCGCCGCGCCGCTGCCGCCGATGCATAAGCGCATGTGACCGAGTTTCGGCGGAATATGATCGACCGCGCGAAACTCGGTCAAAGACCACCGACACCTTTCCGCGACTCTCTGCCTGTGTAGGGGGTGCCGGCACGATCTGCGCGAAATTCCCTCCCCATCCGCGAGCGTGCGGACGTCCGAAAACGCGATCGTTTATCACTGCACGTATTTATCTTTGACGAATCGCCCTAGTCCTAATCGTAAAAACCGATCTGAACAGATTAATCCAAAATTTCTCCCGGTTTCTCCTTACTGGAAGGTTAAGTCTCTCTGCGGCAGAAATGTGAAATCTTAGCGCAAAGGAAGAATCTTGTTCGGAAACGTGAATATCAAATGTTGTCATTAGTATTACAAGTGAGAGATTAGTATTACAAATAACTCTGTTAAGGATGTATCAGATGTATAGTCTCTGCAAAAAATGAATGGAACGTTAAATTTATATTTTTATAAAAGTGAATATTTTATATATATATAAAATATTTTATAT